ACTATCTGAGTGTCAGTGGTTAATCTCTAACGTTCGGTAGTGAAATTGGTCCTTTGACTTGAGGTCGTCATAGTACCTTATATGAGGACAGTCATACTTTGGCGGTGTTGGATGTTGCTCTGAAAAGGGCCGCTAATACGACATCGTTCGGGTACGTCAAGAATCGTATGAAGGTTGTGATTGATCAATAAAGGATTCGTCACTCTTAGATAGTAGGAGATTATGATCTGCGTTTCATTCAATTAAGTCAATGATGAAATCCTTGGCCAAGGTGTACTCATGAGTCGAAAAGGAGTTTTCGATTTATATTGACTTAATAGTGGAGTGAAAGATATGATCGATGATCGAGATTGACACAATTCCATATCTCGTAATTGATCGGATCATATTGACGAAGGGATTATAGTTTCACGGTAAACGAACGAATTTGGTTTTGTCATACCACGTGACATTTCCCGTCACATGTATTGCCCTGACACATTGCTAGATGTCAATCAGGGACGGCGAATGTGAATTGACGATAAATTAAAAGAGTGTTTTAATTTATCAATTTTGATTAGATCAAAATAATATTTCACGTCGTTAGGCATCGTGGTCGGGAACCTAATGGGTCACACACAAAAGAGAATTGGAAGATTGCAAATTGCCAATTGATTAATTTAACAATCGTTGGATAAATTAATTAATTGGATTTGTTATTTATATTTTCGAATTAATTAATTGGATTAATTAATTCACGGACCGGATTTAATTAATTGGATTAATTAATTATTGGACCGGACCGGACCGAGCCTGTTTGGGTTTATATAAATACATAGCTAGAGTTTGAGGTCCATTAAGGTTTTCATTATTCTTGCTAGCACAAGAGAAAACCCTAGAGGCTGCAATCATATTCTCTGTGTGGATCACCGTTGGAGGCTGGACAATTGGACAGCTGTGGTGGCAAATCAAGGTTGATAGAACAAAAGGAAAAGCAAAAAGATTGCAGATCTGACAAAAGGTACAATCTTATCACAATTCCTAACCAAACACAATGAGATCTATTGGGTGGGAATCGAAATAATTTTAAATTCCGCTGTGCATGTATAAGTAGATTCCCAACAGTATACTTTAGATAATTCTCTTTCCCACCTGAAAAGTAGAGAGAATTCTAGCCCATTAAACCGGTGAAAAAAGATTCTGTTTTGAGCATGACCTAATAAGAACAAGAACAAGAACAAGAACAACATGAAAACTCGAGCAGACATTTAAAATAGAAGGATAAGAAATAAAAATTCTGATACAAACATTCTAATAAATATAAGAATGGGCATCTGCTGAGAAATCAATATTAAACCAATGTACAAAATGAACAAAGCATATTTACTGAGATAACCTGTGAAGCTCACTAACAAGACAGCCCTGCACAAAAGATGATAATGAAATTGTGTTGTGCTCTATTTGGAGAAGTAATTTAATTTGTTCATCCAGCATATAGTCTGAACGATGTAGTCCTAGGTTAAAGGTATATAAAAATTAGTGTAGTCTTCAGCACGTATGTAAGCATTTGAAATTAATAACCGAAGTGAATAAGCAAGTCCTTTCAAAATCACGACACTGCAAAAATAGAGTGAAAAATCAAAATGGCACTTGACATTGAACATAAATGTTGCATTGGTATTAGAACCATCCAATTGACAATCTTTTATATTAGGGGCCCGTTTGACAGAGATTTTGAGAATTGATTTTTTGACCGTTAGAAGAAAAGTGGGGTCCACATGTGAGAGAAGAAGTCAAAAATTACGGCTTGAATGGTAAAATAACGGTCAAAAAATCAATTTTTTGGGGCAAAAAATCCCTACCAAACGGGGCCTAGGTCAATTTTATGTCTTTAGTACGAAGTCAAGAATCTGTTGGTACTAGCACTGAATCTGGGATATGCTAAAAAATTCTCAAGGAAAAATGTAGGAAAAAAATACTGAAAAAACTTGAAAAAGAAAAAAAAAAATGGGTGACCTTGATTGCCTAAAAGGTCTGGCAGTTCTGCTGTGGACGTGATTTTATAACATGGGAGTAAGAATGACGATTTAACGTAATCTGATGATCACTCAAAGAACTTGAAAGTTGCAATGTGAGATTTATTGAATCTCACTTAAGTTTGTTGTGCTCCCTGCTGCACCTTCCGCACTGTCCCTCTCTTTAAGAGGGGAGGCAGGCTGTGGGTTAGGGTAGAGGGTTGAACAGTATTTTGAATAATGAAAAAAATTGTTTTCACTTATTTTTAAAGGAGCTTTTCTTGTTGCATTTTTCTTTTGATTATTTGAACATGGAAGCAAAACTATATTTTTGCTTCGAATATGCCTGTTTTGAACAAAAAGTCCAAAAAGACCTCTACTACGCAAAATTTAGACCAGCAATGAAGGTGCAATTCTTTGGTTTTAGGGAAAAGGAAATCCAATGGCAATGAAGGTTGTGCAATTTTTGGCTTTTTGACAATTACGGCCAAAAGATCAAAAGGAAAAGAAGCAGGAGGATAAAGAATATACACTCTGATACCATGTGAGAAAAATGGGTTGTTCTGTCTTGTTTTGTAGAGCATGGATTGTATTTATATAGAACTCCTACAAGAAAGAAACTCCGTAATAATATGCTCATACTAATTGCATGAAAACTCATACACAATATCTACAAAATAAATACAAAGATAAATTAGATTTGCTAAGAATGAGGATTCAATTATAAATAAATTTCCTCTTTTGGAAGGTTCTGATCTCTTGACAATTGAATTGCTACATAAATCGAGAGCAAGATAGGAGCCATCCAAAATGAAAAATCATGAAAACAGAAATAAACAAGTATCAATGTAGCGAACTGGCTTGAAAGAAATAATGCGGTCCAACATAGGGACAAGTGAAGGAAAGACCAAGTGACTTACAATATTTAAGGAATATAGGTACTATATATAGCTTTATTAACATGAGAAGTTTCTATTATATTGAGAGAAACAAATTACGTACAATTTCCAAACACGACATAGACAAACCAACTGAATATATGTTGAAATATGCCTCTATTTTCTTGGCATCTAACATCTTAGAATGAATTTCGAAAAGTCTGTATGAAAATCATCCACTTTCTTGGTTCTTCAAAAGAAAGGCCAAAAGTTGAATTAAGACAATGCTGGGGAAAAAGTTCGGGAGTTAAAGGACATAAGATACAACCTCCAGGGACTACACAAGTTAAATAACATTGGCAGCTATCTGTAGTTTCTTTTACCAAAATTGAAGAAAGGTTCAAAAAAGATGATGGTGAACCACATTATAAACATATAAGTTTGGTGTCAGTAAAGGTGAACAGGAAGTTCTCGTTTACGAGTAGTTTAACCTGGATAGCGAATCCTGTAGGAATTTTCCATTCAAACTCACGCGATCCACGAGTTCATTGAAAATGGGAGCTATTTGGCATACTTGTTTCCAATGACTTTCCCGAAATGGCATAGGCAAAAAAGAAAATGGGGCATCACCCATGCCCACGCCAGGCACTCTTCCTGATCTCTGTCAATTCCTGTCTCCAAAAAGAAGCCCATGAAGGGAACTCCATACGAGCGCATCATATTCCATTTTCTGAAGCAATTGTGGGTCAATTTTGTGAGGATCAACGATAAAGCTCATAAATTCCCTTGATGGGTCTCCATTTCTTCAACTCCGCTGCATTTCGAAGCCTGAGGCACGGAGAAATTCGCTGGTTTTGGAAGATGGGTTTGCAAGGATTTAGTAGGGGTATTGAAAATGAAAGAGTTGTGGTTTGATTTGCTACGCAAAGGAATGGTACTGGAGGTAGGAAGAGAGCAGAATGTGTACAGGCCAACACCCATTTTCACATTTTTTTGACTACTCCATGGATGTCCATTCCTTTTGGTTTTGCAAGGAACAAGATGGGTGGGTATACAGTATGAAATTGTGGTGGAAACTGGATGGGATGGTCACATCCATTTCTCATTATGTTCCTCCATTCAACATTTTTATTTTATTTTATTTTAATAAAGTTTCTAGTACATTTCATGTTTATAATTTGAATGATATCAAACAAAATGTACAAGTAACATGATTAATTTTTTTAATGGGAGATTTGCTTAAAAACTAGTCAATCATAATGTTTGATAAAATAGCCTATATCAATATTTATTGGTCAAGTACCTATAATCATATTAAAAGTCTAAAATATCTTTAAATTGAAATGACTAAAATGTCCGATCTGAAGATTAATATTTACCATATAACCAAACATAAATCCATAAATTCTTCTTCATTCTAATGTTTTCAAACCCATTCCATAGCAGCACTGTTTGTTCAAATGAAAACAACACATGGTCGTTTTAAACGTATGGTTGCCATTTCCACTCATTTCGTGTTCATTTCCTTTCATTCACGTTTGTTATGAATGTATGAATGTTAACTGTTGAACATAAATTGTGAATTTAATATTCAATTTGTGACGATTTTTGATAAATTCTGATAGCTATTTAGTGTTCGAGAATCGAGACCCCTTGACCCCAAACAGCATGTTGTCGTTTTACAGGTAGATGTGCCATTTATGGGGTAGAGTATACAAAAATATAGCACGTGTAATGTACAAGTGAAATCGATACCCATGACCTAAAACGACATTCGATGGTTTTAAACATATGGCGAACTTTTCTACTCATTTAGTGTTCGTATCAGATCATTCACGTCCGTAACCATGTGAAAGTTTAGGTATGAAAGTTTTAATTATATTTTGATGTTGAGTCGATATATTTGTTCAAACAATAGTGAGTCACTCCATAATTCGGTAGAAAACTACTCTATAATATACAATAAAGAAAAACGTAAGTAGCAAATATGGAATTCAAAACATAGCATGCGTAGTCGTTCAAAGTATACGAGTCATGTATGATGTTTTAATGCATGTTTTACTAGTTTCGAATTGAAATCTATACCCTGTGACCCAAAACGACATCTAGTTGTTTTAAATGTATGGTTGACATTTCTACACAGTTAATATTTGTTTCGGTTCATTCACGTCTGTAACCACGTGAAAGTTTATGGATAAAAGTTTTAACTACATTTCGACGTTACGGTTGACACACCTTTTCTAACTATAGTTAGTTATTCCATGATCTAGCAGGAAACTACATTACACTTGACAATAAAGAAGAATGTAAGTGGCAGGTATGATATCCAAAGCATAGCACATGTAGTCGTTCAATATATACAAGTTATGTATGATGTTTCAAACATGTTTTACTAGTTTCGAAGTGAAACCAATACCCTGTGATCCAAAACGGCATCTGATCGTTTTAAACATATTGTTGACATTTCTACTTATTTAATATTCGTTTCGATTCATTCACACCCGTAACGATGTGAAGGTTTATCGATGAAAGTTTTAACTATATTTTGATGTTACGGTTGACACATTTGTTTAAACTATAGTGAGTAACTTCAAAATCTGATAGGAAACTACACTACAGTTGACCCAAAAAAAAAATCCAAGTAACAAGTATGGTATCCAAAACATAGCACATATAGTCGTTCTATGTGTACGAGTCACGTATGATGTTTGAAAGCACGTTTCACTAGTTTTGGAGTGAAATTGATACCCTATAACCTAAAACAACATCTGGTCTTTTTAAATGTATGACTAACGTTTTTACTCATTTAGTATTTGTTTCGGCTCATTTATACCCGTAACCAAAAGAAAGTTTAGGGATGAAAGTTTTAACTATGTTTCGACATTGCGATCGACACATTTGTTCAAATTGTAGTGAATTACTCCATAATTTGGTAGGAAACTGCACTACACTTGACAATAAAGAAAAATGTAAATAACAAGTATGGTATATAAACTATAGCACGTGTTGTCAATAATGTGTATGAGTCATGTATGATGTTTCACTAGTTTCGATGTGAAATCGATATCCCGTGACCCAAACATCATCTGGTCATTTAAAAAAAAGATTGTTGTTTAGGGTTTAGATTTAGGGTATAGGGTTTACAAAATAGAAAAACGGGTAATTGTTCAACATGTACAAGTTTTTTATGATATTCGAAACATTATTTTACTAGTTTTGGAGTGAAATCGAGACCCCTTAACGTAAAACAACATGTTATCATTTTACATGCATGGGTGCTATTTAGGGGGTAAAGTTTACAAAAACATAGAACGTGTAATGTACAAATGAAATCGAGAACCCGTTATCCAAAACATATGTTATCATTTTACAAGTATGACTATCATTTAGGGTATACAAAACATAGCATGTTCCAATATTTGTTTCGTAGTGAAATTGAGAGCCCGTGACCTAAAACAGCATGTTGTCATTTTAAACGTGTAACTGCCATTTTCCAAACTGAGTGAGTGTGCATAGTTAATAATACAATATGTTTTTCTATCGCATAAATATACCATCCATCATAAAAACTGCAACTTTATTTCAACCTTAACTGCTTCAATATTTGAATAAAACACTCATACAATGGAAAACATAGTAAAATTTCATAGCAACACTAGTCAACATGCATACACCAGTTCTGTAATCAATCATCCCTAATCAAATCATAAAAATCAATACTAACTAGACAAAATTAGCATCTAAGTTCTATGTCCATCAATGTCCATTTTATGTGCAATCTAGTGCTTCATTTCCACATTGCAAGGGCAACGACATACAAAAAGGCTCCTCACATTGTAGAGAATATACAACGACGTATTGGAAAGCCAAATCTCATTTCATTTTTTTTGTTAAAATCATTATTATTACAAGCTAGTGGATTAGCTAAGTTGGAAAAGGAATACGCTTTATTTTGATATAGTTGTCTAAAATAAGACTCCATTAGCATTGAACGTCGTCCAACATCTCGTGAAAGTAGTCAAGTTTTTTGAAGGGAACACTTCTGTGAAGGTCTCCTTCTAGTTCTAACTTCAATGGGAATCACATACTCAAATGGGTATTCCATTTCTACAATAAAAATCATAAAATGATTATGTTAATTAATTAATGAACAAGTATGAAGAATTTACAGTAATATTAAGTGATTCTTAGTACAATTTATTTTCAAAAATAGATAAATGACAAGATGACATTTTTAAAATTACATAAAGATAGGTTGCCATTTTCAGGACTAGATAAACTACATAAATGGCAAAGTTATGTTTTTTCTCAATTGGATACTTGACATGTTCAGTAATGGACTGTAATCGGTCCTCTTAGGCATATTTACTTTTATAGATTTGCTTTTATCCAAATAGGTCATCTTCCTACGTAGGCTTGACATAAATGATAGGGTCCTCTTAGATTTCCTTGTATCCAACAATTTGATACTACAACGAAATTGGATTGTAATGAAAATCACATGTCTCTAATTCAACCAGGTCAAAAAGTAGTGATCCAACATTCTACAAGTAAAGTAGACACTGAAAAGATGTATAAAAATTATATGAATAATTTGACAATAGATGTTCAAGAAAGATGGCCTAATTTAGTTATGTCTAATTCAAATGCAAAATGAGGTATGATGAGAGAAACTAATAGATGACAATTCACAAAACCACTTAAAGAAAATGGCAAGAAAGAAATCACTATCCAAATCCACAAAAATTATAAATTCTGCCATAAATATCCCAATAAAATAGTCGATTATGCAAATTTTCTGCAATTCTGAAGTGATTAAATGTTAAAGTAAAACAAAAAGGTATTAGCTAAGATAAACAATCTCATGTGAACATAGGCAGCTTTGGGTCCAACACATGCCTTAACGACCTAAGTCACCATTCCCTTAATTTATACCTAATTTGTGTTATCTTAACTTGCTATTACATAAGTCACCAGTTTCAACTTGAAGACCTATGATAAAAAATCACTTGCCTAATAATACTTTTACAGAACTTACCCTTTAACTTGTAGAGTTATAGGCATCGTTAGCACTCATAGAATTCCTAAAGTAGTACTCTGTTTGGTCGAATTACTCTAAACCTATTCATTATATGTAGATCCTCTACAAATTGTTCACTGTTAAAAATCCTTTATTCCTATTAGAAGTAAAATTGAATTTATGCATTCAATCATACTTTTAGTTAATAAAAACCTTAAAAAATTTAAGGCAGAAAATGTGAGGATGGAAAGGCATTCAATCTTCTTCAACATACATATTAGTTATCTTCATTAAAATCCAAGAAACTTATTTTTTGTTACATAATTACTTCTTTAACGTATAACTACTTGAATAAGGAAAAAAGAGATGAACCCACATAAATGAATGCATACCCAAATCAACTAATTATCTCATAAATCCTTACTACCTGTTTTTGTTTAAAATTATATCCAAACACTCGTATACCCATTAAAACTTAATGTATACAAAAAGTAAAAAAGAAAGAGTCAAAGAGGAACAAACTTCCTAAATTTAACATTTGATCAAGGGTTGTCAATCCTACCAAAAAACCAACGCGAATGGACCTGGAAGATGGTTAAGATACAAAAGACCCACTTTCAAGAAAAAAAAACAACTAAATGGGATACAATAAAAAAAATATTAATATGTTGAGAAGCCCACATTTATTACAAAATTCACAGAAAATAAAATCGATGAAACCTTTATACTTGAGGATAGACAACCGAGATATTGGTTCCTTAAATGAGCTCTTCACGGTGATTGTTCGTGGTGGAGCTACTCAAGGTAGTGGTAGCGTTCCAAATGGAAGAATAATTAAACACTAATCTTGTTTAGAGGGAAAAGATATAGAAGAATAGGCATTTAAAAGGGAAGAAATGGTCGTGAGGTACGAGAGAGAAGAAATGGATTTAGGGTTCGAAGGGTTTCTACGTTTCATAGAGGAGATGAATTTGGAAAAGGAAAATGAAAAGGGGAAAAATTTATTTTGATGGAATGAGGATAGTTCAGGTAGTTTGTTAATTTTAATTTAAAATATTTATTTTAATACTTTTA